AGATGAGTTGTCACCCCTAAGGACTAAGATGGAATACCTCATTCCCACTAAAAATGTCTCCAGTTCTCTATCCAGCACATGAAACGCACAGCGTTAAGTTGCTATATCACACTGGTATTCTATGAGAGCGTGGTTTTGCCCCCGGTCGAGTCGACCCATTCGTGGTACAAAGATAATATTGCTGCAGCGTTGATCTAACATAATATACAAAAACTTAAAATATATTTATTTTTGGTACCAAAAGCAGAATTCGTATCCATACGTTATTGAATTCTCAGTAACGGACGTGGAGCCCTCACTCGCGGATAGCAGGTAATAAATTGTGTTAAACAAGTAGGTTGAGGCGTTTTATCAAAGTCAATCGGTATTGCGCCGACGCTGTTGAGTAATTACTAGTGCCGGCGGTTGTTTGGCATTACATGGGTGTACGTGACGCATTGTGTATCATAGTTTGCTGATGCTATTGTCTTCAGTATGATTAATATGACCTGACTTGACGGCGCAGCAGTAATGACTAAGTGTTTGGCTTCGGCTCTATGATACGCGGGTTCAATTCCCACATGGTAGGTACTCGTAATTCTATAAAGTAATTGTAAAAAATATATCATAAATATAGTTTAAAAAAATATTCCGCTGGATTTCTTGCTGATTGTTCCTAGGATAGATGTTTTTTCGAACCAGTGGTAAAGCTTAAATGGCTTTCAATAAGTATTGTAATCTATATTCTTCATCATCATTATCACAGCGCTTTAAGTTTTACAAGTCCACTGCAGAACATAGGTCTCCCCAAGTAATGCCACTGAGCACGGTCCTGAGCCACCTGCCTCCATCGACTTCCTGCATGTCTTACCAGGTTATCATTCCATCTAGTGGGGGTCGCCCTACACTACGCCTACTAGTACGAGGCTACCACTCAAGACCCTTTTTTCTTCATTGGTTGTCGGTTCTTCGAGCTATATGACCGGCCCATTGCCACTTCAGCTTACTAATCCGTTGGGCTATGTCGGTCACTCTGGTTCTACTGCCGATATCCTCAGTTCTAGGTTTATCACGCAGAGAAACCCCGAGCATATCCCGGCCAGCAGTGAGGGACTAGATTGTATAACCAGTGCGTATTGCCAGTGATGACTTACGTATCTGAGACGTAATCTATATTGAATTGAAATAAGTCCATAATGATTTCTTATAATTACGTGAACACTACACATTGATTAAAACTACTTTTCCGGATTGATCAAAACTAATTTTTCGGATTTTATTGCGTTTAATTTTATTTTTAATTATTTTTATTTTTAATTCCCGACGTTTCGGGTGCTTTCCAGCACCCACGTTCACGACCATTTTCCTATAAACAGTCCACCCGAAACACCCGAAACGTCGGGAATTAAAAATAAAAATAATTAAAATTAAACGCGATAAAATCCTTAAAAGTAGGTTTAATAAATGTGTAGTGTTCGCGTAAATATAAGAAATCATTAATTTTACGGTTTTATCGCGTTTAATTTTAATTGGTTTTTAATTCCCGGCGTTTCGGATGTTTCGGGTGGACCGTTTATAGGAAAAAGACCCATACAAACCGACATTTAAACGGTGAATCTCACCACCATCCTTCACAGTTAGCTACCGTGGGCAAATCTTAGTTACAGATAGCACGAGGGATCTGTGACAGCAAACAACTGGCCGCCGAGCTTCAGCACGTCAAGCAGGTTCTGCACGGTAACAAGCTTCGGGTCCCGCGCCTCCGTCACAGTGACCGAGTGAAGCCGGCCACAGTCGAGCGTGTGCCTGCTGTACTAACATATGTCAGAGGAGTCACAGACAAGATTGGCTACATCTTGAAGCGAGCTTCTATTAGAACTTTCTACAAGCCGCCGAAGAAGATAAGTCGGTTCTTACCATCTGTCATAAGTGTCATATTCCTCTACAGGATGCAGGAGTGCACAAGCTTGATTGTGAATGTGGTCTCTCATACATAGGGCAAATTCAAGATTAGATCTATTAAAACCCGCGTAAAAGAACATATAGCTGACGTGAATCATCAACGTTCCGGGAAGTGTGCAGTTTGTGAACATATCTTAGGCGGCCCCAACAATTACATCAGATTTTACAGACCACAAATACTCGCGAAAGAACATCGATTTCTATCAAGGATGATACGTGAGGCTATTGAAATTAAAAAAACATCCTAATTTCAATGGAGAAGGAGGCTGGGTACTACCACCTGCTAGGAACCCTGTAATTAATAAAATTAAAACTAAACCCATACCATAACACTGCAAGACTTCAAGTCATAGTATGTTCATTCTGCATAGATCGGACCATAAACAGTAATTAAAAAGCTGAAAGTACTCCCGGTTAATATTGACATCGGTATGTCAGTCACCTCAGTCCCCCGTGACCATGGGTGCTGGAAAGCACCCGAAACGTCGGGAATTAAAAACCAATTAAAATTAAACGCGATGAAATCCGTAAAAGTAGTTTTAATAATAAATAATTTTTTTAACAAATGTTTGTTTATTCACTCAACTAATTTTACATCATTACTTACACTATTTAAATAAAAAGTCCCATTCATTACATTGAGAGGTTAACGTCGGCAGCCGTACTAGTATAAACTGTGCCACGGCTTAATCAATGTGAAATAATTTCATTCCATTTTATAAAAGTCATGTTATCTCAGGAACTAAGCTGTACGAGCAACTCGGTTTCCAATCCCTAATGGTCACCCCATTCCGGCAACAACAAAATTTTATTTATCTATTATTTGATGCTGTAGACCTGGATTCTGTACTTGGAAATGACCGTGGACGTAATATGCCTCAGAGCATGACTGGTAATAGAGTAAACTCCGCAACGCTACGCGTACAAGAATGGAGAAGACTTATAGTAGCTCTTACTTCACCACACCACTCGCCTGTGTAGAAACGGACTCCCCGTGTAGTGGTGGTGTAAGAATATCAAATGCCCTATATTATCCCGTGGGTGTCGTAAGAAGCAACGGGCAGCAGCATCTTCCTTACAACGACGTTCCTATATCCATGCGTGGCATATATGGGCAATGGGGCATTTTAAGGGAGAGGCCTATATTCATCAGTGAACTTTAATAGGCTGTTATGGTAACTGTTTATTATCTGCAGACTAGATTATAAGAATTAATTTTCGTAAATTTATTCAAATCAAGAAGCTTTAATAGGATTTTAAATTATATTGCTAAAATGTTTACAAATATACATAAGTAGTATTCCAAGTCGTGATCTTTGACTGCTTGCTAAAAGAACATTATAAAAAATGGCTCTTAAATGTTAATGATCTAAAATGAACCTTACGTCATTGTTATAAGAACACTAGACATAAAAAATGTAAAGACATCGAGTTCAAATAGAAACGTCAATCAGAATTTTTTTGCTTATTTTCTCGTGTAAATACGCGTCTGTCGACATGTCACATCGGTTCAAGGGTATTCATTTTTTTTTTCTTATACATATTATCTATTTGTAGAAAATAACAAAGCGAACTGTGTTTTGTAAGCCGTGTAACCAACGAATGTTTTTATGTAATTAAAAGTTGTGAATGAAAATGCTGTGATGTAATAATAAGTTTTTGCGCTTAAACTCTTATTCTTAATTATTCTTATTATTATATTCATAACTGTCATTTAGGATCACAGTTTTATAAGAAATACGAACTTACCATCCAGTTTCAGCTACGAAACATCTAAAACCAAGTCGTGTTTAGAATCTATTTGGTTTTAGGATTTTCTCATCAAATAGAATCTAAATACGTTCAGACGTGTTTGTTTGTCTACTTTAATGCATAATCGTACGTTTTTATTTTTTTAGAATAAGGGACAAACAGTTACATAGTTCAACTGATGACAAGTAGATGCTGTGGCTCATAGATATCCATATTTATTTTCGATTAAGAATCAAAATACAGATGCGTATGCGTTGTCAACCCTGAGGAAAGATAAAATGCCTAGATGCTAAGATGCTGCATAAGATGGAATGCCTCGTATCTGTGGCCGTGGAAAGAAAAGGGGAGATCTCCCGCCGGGCAAGGTGTTCTGCCCGGGGAGCGGCCGATACTCCGTGTGATAGTTCGGAGATGTTCTATATATACTGTTCATGATTCGGAATGTTGATAGCGTGATTTAGGCTTCGGTGTGTTTCAGTGTGCTAGTGGCGCGACGACAGCGCCGCTACATATCCAATAAAAAGGATCTCCAGTTATCTAAAGCAGCAGTAAGCTGTTATTTCACGCTGGTATTCTGTGAGAACGTGGTTTTACCCCAGTCGAGCTAACCCATTCGTGCTACAACGATAATATAGTTGTAGCGTAACTCTACTACGAACATCAGCGCACAATAGCGAAAAAACCAAAACAGTGTGGTGTATGTAAACTCTTACTGATTTTTTTAAAGGTAACCTTCATTCCAACATATTACTTACTTCACTTAACTTAGGTGAATATGTAATGAATATGTAGAAAAAGAAATTCTAACAGTTTCCAAACCTTCAAAAATTGAGCAAGATGACGTAGAAAATATACGGAAATCTATCGAAAGTATTGTTTTATCAAATGAACTTGCTCTAACACGTGTGAAAAGTACGATAAAATCGGAAAAAGTTATGACCGACAGTGGTAAGTTATTGCTTTAGCTTTAATTGTACAACGTTGTCCTTTTTATTGCACTTTAAATTGAAAGTTCTCAACCAGATTTTTTTAACTATTTGTTTAAAGGAGCATAACAGCCCTTTTAAGTTCACTGATGAATATAAATACCTAGATTGTTTCACAATTTTTTCAGTTGGGAGGTACATCATGGGTAGGTAGGTTGCTTGGCTAGTATTCAAGCACAATGTAATACTGATTGGTTCAATTTGATTGGACCAATCACTATTGCATTGAAGACGTCCAGATTGTATCGGATGGAAACTCACGTGACGGCTGATTATTCCATCTTTTTTTTGTACGCAGGCGAGCGCGCAGGCCTGCAGCCGATGCAAACCTGGCGGTGCAGCGCCTCGCAGTCGAACGCGACGGCCTGCAGTCGGTACAGCTGGTGCGAACCTGACGGTGCAGCGCCTCGCAGGCGAACGCGACGGCCTGCAGTCGGTACAGCTGGTGCAAACCTGACGGTGCAGCGCCTCGCAGGCGAACGCGACGGCCTGCAGTCGGTACAGCTGGTGCAAACCTGGCGGTGCAGCGCCTCGCAGTCGAACGCGACGGCCTACAGTCGGTACAGCTGGTGCGAACCTGACGGTGCAGCGCCTCGCAGGCGAAAGTGACGGCCTGCAGTCGGTACAGCTGGTGCTAACCTGACGGTGCAGCGCCTCGCAGGCGAGCACGTCAGCCTGCAGCTAGTGCGGCGTGACCTGAGCGTCGCGCGCCGCCAGTATAGGCCGTAGTGCGCCGAAAACTCCCAATTTTTAATTAAAAAACTTTTAATTGAAAATTTTGAGAACTCAGAAAAGAGGAGCTACTCTCGCTCTGACAAGTCTAACGAAACACTTCGGTAATTAATTACATTACATATTCACATGTCTCTTTGAAATAATATAATAAATCGAAATTTGTACCATTATTTTTGTTTTTTAGTAGAACAGTTAAAACTTACTGGCATAATAAATTTAAAACTTGAACTAAAGGAATGATTTACAGACAATATTTCAAGGAAAAATTTAAGCTAAAATCTAAGCAAACGACACATTTGGATTTTACAGATCACTCAGCAGTGTAAATTATGTTTATAAATAATTGTGATAAATAATAATAATAATGTAAATGCCTAGGCTAGTGACGACCCCATAGCCCGCTCACGTAACATTAATGTGACAAAACTGCTACGTCGGCGTAATCAGTCACCGCGCTGCCAAGTGTGAGCGCCGTGCCTAGGCAAAATTGAGGGTGCAAAGGTCCTTTGTTGTACAAATTATAAACGATGAAGCAAACCATTTGATTCGAATGCTTGGTATGTCGACAAAAAACGGGTAAAAACCAGACGTGCATCTTAGTGGTCTGATGATAAAACGTAGAGGAAGGAATTATGTAATCATGTATCACACTCTCCGAAACCTAATCTAAAAAAGTTCGAAAGGCTGGCTATTCGAAAATTTCAATATCCAGTCGAACATCGAAAAGCTAGCTACTTGTCGCCATTCGAAACTTATTAAGTTTCTTACAGCGCCTTTCCATTGAGTCCAAAGCCACCACCGCTGTAATGATGATGATTACAATGATGATATAAAGTATCCAAGGAACATAATATCTTTACTTTTTAAATATTTTTGTTCAAAACTGGTCTTTAAGTCTCTCACATCACTATCATATATTACCATCATCATCATAACAGCTCTTCACTAGTCCACTGGTAAGGTAGGCGTCCCCCCAAGGAATACCAGAAAGGGGGTCAACTAGATGGAGTGACGACCTGGTAAGATATGAAAGAAGTCGATGAATGCAGGTAGCTCACCACCAGACGGCAAGATATAAAACCATGCATACCTATGACAATAAGCGGGGCTGATTTTGTGTCGCTGTGGAAGAGTGGTGCATCAGCTGACACCTCGCACTTGTAGTCACCGCTCATTCTTCGGTACATGTTGTCTAAACGCACTTGCTGGTGATCCGATTGCGCTAACTTGTTCCACCCATCAACCCATCTGCACAAGGTCACACATCTGAATGAACTTCTCCACCGCCTGGATAGACCACAGAAAGGCATTCTATTCAGTGCCTCATACATGGCTGAAGAGGATCCTCAAGCTGCACAAGTTTGACTGGACAGTTAGAGACTTCATCAGGCAGTGTATGGGTCAGTTGAGTACGATCCTATGTCCAGGCGAGCGTATGACAGCTGCGGAGAACCACATAAGAGTAAGAAGGGGTATCTTCCATGCCTATTGTTGGGCTCCAATTTGGTTTTGCGTATCTTTGAACCCACTTAGGGCCTTACTGCAGGGCACCGGTAGGTGATTTCAGTTTCGGAAAGGATTCACCTCCAGCCGCTTCAGTCTTATGGAATTACAAAACATAACTTGGAATTTAACAATTGCATTAGAGACGGATAAGAGAGTTGAGAGAATTAGGTAGTCAGCTCTGAGGGCATAGACTTATCTATGCCCATCAACATAAAGACTTTTTCCAGGGCTGAAACATACCGAACCGTGGGTATGTCACAAAATATAGTGTGTTGGCTGTACTGGCTGTGGAAGCATGGTGGGCGTGGCTTTTTAAACACGTTCACCATGCATAACTGCGAAGTGTGCAGCCTACGTAATTACTTCCTGGCGAGAACGGATGATCTATTATATAAGAACGTCATTTCTTGTGATATGGGGCTTACACCTATAATTTAAGCCAACAAACAATTGCAAGACCCGGTAGTACAGAGCATTTTCGACCGTGAGTACGCATGGAAGAAGAAGGAGCTCCATGGGAGGTTCTACAGGGCTCTACATGAGCCTTTCGTAGATACGGTTGCCTCCCTTCACGGGATACGCTATGGTGACCTCTTTGGGGAAACCAAGGGTTTTTTCTATGCGGTACAGGATCCTAAATATAGCGCCGTCGATATATGTCGAGCTTGTCAACGTCCCGGTGAATCACTTCGGTGTTCGGGTCTTTCTAGCTCTGAGTACTTGCATACACAATCTAGTAGCGAGGATTCTACACCAGGATCTCGCTCTAAAATACGGTCTCGTGGATCGGAAACTGCCTACTTATATGTACATGCCGGAAGCCGTGCTCGAAAATAACCGCGCCAGGCTCTACTCGGACCAGGCACTCATCACAGACAGCCCTATTCTTGCGAATAAACCTGATATCGTTTTGATACAAAAATACAAAAATATTTTTGGTTGACTTTACCATTCTATATGACGAGAACCTCGTGAAAGGCGAAACAGATAAGCGAACAAAATATCTGGACCCGGCTCACGAGGTGATTGACATGTGGAGTGGTCTGCAGACCGAAATTATTCCTGTAGTAGTTAGTGTCTGCGAACGGGCTAATCCCAGTCATCCTCCCGGGTCGTCTGAGATGACTGGAACTCCGTGACTTACCGCTCCGGGCTTAAATGTAGAAGGCGGTGCTCCTTGATACCTCCCACATCGTCCTCCGGTTTCTTTCCCTTTTCCTCTAACCCTCGGCCGTTTGGTTTTCCCTGGCGAGGGCTTCCATCTGGCTGGGTTCTTATTTATTTATGTATTATTTATGTTAGTATATTTAATAAATATATATAATTATGTACGCTTATTTATTAATTCCTTTTATATATTTATTCAGTCCAAGCAGATGAGAATACTTTATAAATACCCCAGATGATAATAATGTCCTCCAGATTGAATTTCGTTCAAAGCGGCCAGACTCAACAGAGGCTAGCCATCGGCGCCGGACTCATAGTCCGATGGGATGGCTTTACGTGCTCTCCGAGGCATAGGGTGAGAAACCACCAACTTTCTGACTTCGAGCAGCTTCTGAGAATTTCTTAATGGAAAAGATCAATAACTGATATTTTTTGGCCTGACCCGGGATTCAAACCCGGGACCTCACGATCAGCAGTCGCACTATTACAACCACTAGACTAATGAGGCAGTCATAAATGTTGTAATTATACAGGATTATAAATAAAATTTATTGAAATCATCTATCAAACGGTAATTAAGTTTGAAATTGTGAATCAAAAAACGCAACCAGTAAACAACTGAATACACTGGCCGTCGTCTTACCTGATTGATGACTGCCACAATCATAAAGAGTAACTGACCAGTCTGAAAAAAACCGTGCTCATTCAGTTATATGCTACTTTCTTGTCCATAGAAGAAAGTAACGCAAACGATGTGAAGTGTCATCTTAAACTGGACCACGGGACGAATGATAAATTACTGTGAAGATAAACATGGCTACTTTATTACAGGGTAGCTTTATTATTTATTCATGTAGTTGTCTGATCAGAGTTCAGAGGTTGCACTTTGTAACGAAAGCGCTATTGTGTGCTTATAAAGCAGAAATTATTTTTGTGTTTCAAGTACAGCCATGGTTGTTCAGATGGTTAGCGCTCGCTGTAATTTTCACAGTACGCGAGCAACCTGGATTCGATCCCCGTCAGCACTAATGAAATTGCTAATTGCAATTTTAAGCGCTGATTTAGCACGTGCTCGGCAGTGAAGGAAAACATCATGAGGAAACATGTATGTCTCAGAAATAAGAAAAAAAAATATTTCGAAGGTATGTGAAGTTCGCCAACACGCATTGGGGGTGCCCTAAAACCTTCTAAAAAATGAGGGATGGCATATCCTCAGCAGTAAGCCGTATATAGGCCTTTAACGTAAAGCTTTGGATGCTACTGAAAATATTAATAGTTGATAATATATGAAAATAACTTAAATATATATGTTCTTCCATTAGTAATATTATTTCATACTTATTATGACCTTATTGTACTATTTTGCTACTTATTGGTATCAGATGTATAGGATTATTTGTACAAAATAAAAAAATCTGTAAATTAATCAGGCTTGGCATATGAAAATTTAATCAAAAATAGAGATTAACATCAGTTATTGTAACTTGCGTATTTCGTATACCTAATACAGTGGAAAATTCTCTCATCATCGTGAGAGTAGAAATCAGAAATTTAGCAAATTAGTTGTTTATTCTCTCTTTATCTCTTAGATATGTATTTATTAATATCTATTTAGATAAAGTATTTTAACAAGACAATACATTAATTTTTACTGTTCATAATACCAAGCATTCACTCCCTTCTCGTCCTATTATAAGTGGTATTGGTATTGAAAATGTTAGAAAGACAACTAAATTACATCCAAAACGTTTCCATTTTTTTCACCATCATCATCTTTAACCCATAAACGTCTACAGCTGAATCTCTCCCGTTTTGTACAGAGGATTTGCCTTAAAGTCACCTAGCAGAATGTCGAACGCAGTATCAGAAGTCTTTCGTGCGTCTCTCGGTCTCCTGTCTGGGTGTTTTACGCCTGGTATAAAGAGATAGTTATACCACCATCGGAAGTGACAGGATTTTCTGAAATTTCCTAAAGTCGCCTCCTGCGACACCTACAGAACGAAATGGATTCATGGACACCATTACACCGCCAGTATATGATGAATTATTGTTTTATAGTGAGAGCACAAGAGCACAAAATTGTTTCTGGTCATTAACTCATCCCTTATCATATATGGGTGTCTAAGTATCTCTAATCATACGGCATCTATAAAATAAAGTTTTAAAAAATAAACGGTAACCCTTTATTAAAAAAGTGGCAG